TCCTGCTGTTTATTCCAATTAATTCCTCTTCTCTTTCCCCATTTTCCAGTTTCAACCTTTCAAAATTTTCCTACTAGACAAAAAATTGTATACTTTTTTTGCTCTTATTACAAGAATACAATAACTAATTACATACAAAAGAACAAAGATACTTTTACAGACTTGCGTAACTGTAGATCAATTTTTTGTCAATCAGGAAAGAATGTTGGCAACAACTCCATCTCTTTTCCTTACTTTAAATACTACTTCTACAGTAATACTTTTAAATTTTTTTTATTTGATGAAAAATGTACTTTTTTAAGTTACTCATTTAAAACCTACTTTTTGTATCCAACTGTCGAGAAACTTTACGTTTTTCTTACACATCTCCCTAAGATTATAAAAAAAACAGACATCCCCTTGGAATGAGAAAATTTGTAACAGAGAACAGGTTAAAATATATATGTTACTCATGAAAATCCTGTCACGACAGCGGCGGCGAAGCTCTGCTGCACCGCCGTAACTTCTCTACTCACTTACACACATGCTTATGTATACCTTAAAACGCGCGCATAAGTGTCATGATGTGGCGTAGTGGTTGCGCTATCAATTCCCGTGCTAGCGCTTCTGGTTTCGAATCCGCCAACCTTATAACGTAGAGATGCTGCAGCTCCTAGCTTTGTTTACATATGCTTTCAAACACTTATACAACCACAGTAATGTGGCAGTGGCGGTACTGCGTCCGCATTTTATGCTCGGGGGAGGGGGGGCCTGGTAAGGTAGTAGAGATTGACGAGATGCTCCTCACCAGAAGAAAGTACAACAGAGGTAGGGTCATAAAAAAGCGGTAGCGCTTTGGGGACATTGAGCGAAGGAACAATGAATGCCTCGTCGTTCCAATGGAGCGACGAAATGCTGCTACCCATCTGCCACTGATCGAGCAGTATGTTGTTTTAGGCACAACTATAGTGTCTGACCAACGTTCGGCTTATTGTACCAGCAAAAATAAGCCAGAGGAGAATCAGCATGAGACTGTTAACTACAGTCTCCACTTTAATGATCTTGAGACCGCTGCTTACACAAGCAGCATTGAATCTCTACAGCAGAAATTCAAGGAGGGCCATACGGGGGCAATGCGCCGTACCACCTCTGGTTCCAAATAGCGGAACACTATCCACCGCCCCGAGGTTTCGTTTGAAAGTGCGGGCTTACCCATCGAATTCTGACCGGTCTGCCTTATGACAGTTCAATTTTTAGAAAATCCCCCGTATTGGGGGCGCTATTGGAGCTTTTCTTCCAGGTATTCCGACTTGAGAGAGAAGCGAAAGATAAATATAAATGTAACATCAGTGTAAATGCCAAGCTACACGCAAAGCTCTCTTCTTTGTCTCTTACGGGAACGAACCACCAACCTTTACCCAAGGTGCTCCATCATCTACCACTGCAGCTCACACCACTCGATTTAGATGCGGCTTCACAAACTGTCCTACACTCCTCAGCAAAATCTCCCCGTTGATGCTGCTACAAAAGTTCAGACCTGTCCATAATGTCTCACAATTTTTTGTAAATTTGCAACTGCGCAGCACATGTTTCCTCCGTTATAAGGGACTTCTCAGACCCTAGCCGAGGTTGACACAGTCAATGTCTTCCTGGCTGCTTGGAGCTGCGACCTCGCTCTAGTCTCAGCTTGCCAGGAGGAGGGGCCTCTTTTGAAGCTTGTCTACACAGAGCGCCTCATGTCTGTGTACGGGCTGGAAAGTCTTCATCTTGAATATACGACACCACAGTTAATCGCCAAGAATAAACTGTGTTGAGCTGGATGTACAAAATGTATCTCATTTAAAGTTGCTTAACTACAAGTTTTATACTTTATTCTTATGCTGCCTCACTTAAAAATGTCCTTACCGATTGAAAGGTTTTTCTATTTTGCTAAAATATTTGTGTAAATACAGTCCTCAGTGATTCACATACGAAAATGCTTCCCTTTAACTTCTTTTAATAAATTCTTTTTTCTTCTTTTAATATACAGCTTTTATTGATACAGTTGTCCTAAACTTTCTTCTGTACTATCAGCAACAGGGCGCTTCATAAGTGTTCAAAAATTACTGTTTAAAAGATTTTAGCTGAAAATTTCGGTTTCAGCGCGGGTGATAAAATATAAAATTGTCACTGGTCTCAGCAAGTCACTGGCGAAATTTTGACAAAAAATCTAACAGTATCAATATGAACAGAAGTTCTTAAATCTTTGAAGGGTAAATTCAGTGATTTAGGCGGATCACTCTGCTGAGGTTTCAAACCGCATCAGTAAATTAGTCTGCTGCTGTGGAGGGCAGTGTACAAAATCAGAAGAAAACCATCTACTCCCTACGTGCACGCACGCATTTAAAAACATTATATTAAAGCAAAAACGGTTCTAATGTAACTATGAAAAAACTCACGCAGAAAAGCCGGAAGATACGGGCACAGACATCTGACCTAATCTGTTCTGCGAAAAAACTGATCCAAACGGCGATGAAGGGAAGGTCGGTTTGGCGCCAAATGTAGGAGCACCGCCAAATGAAGGTGTTCCAGTAACTAAAAGATGGTAAGCTCCTGTCAAATCTATGATGTCACGATCGTGAAAGCAAAATGGAAAAGTTAACAGAAGAAAAGTGGTACCTGCAGAATTCGATCGGAAAAAGGTGGATTGTTCCTGGTGTTGAGCTTGCGCTATAGTAGAAGAGAACAATGATGAAGTTGCAGAGGACGTTGTTGGTGTTGTAGATGCCCCAGTGAATAATGAAGATGGAAAGAGAGAATTCGTCTGAGGTGCAGAAGTCCCACCAAATACTGAGGTTGACTTCGGTTTACCCAAGTTGCCAAAAAGGCTGGAAGATGCAGGAGCTGGAGAAGCTTCACCAAAACTGCTAACAACGCCAAAAATGCTTTTAGGAGGGTTTGTGTTGGTTCTTGGTGAGCCCTCTAATCTTCTACAAATAAAATATAATTAAAAAAACCTAACCAAAAAAAAAAAAAA